ATTTATGTAAATTATAGAGCATAAGATAAATCAGATATATTTTTTTATTTCAAATAAATTTGTTGGGCATAACAAACAAAAAAAAAACAATATATGTTTTCCAACAATGAAATATATACATATTTGTAAGTGTGATTAAATATGTATAATAGACTACATCATAATAATTTTTTACTTTCAAAATCCAACTCAAGATACAGTAGCCCATAGTAATAATACAGATACATAGTTCTTCAGTTATATGTTGTGAAATATTTCGAAATGGGTATTAAGAAAATTTATCAAAATTGTTGTGAGTTTGATAAAATTAGCATTTCAGATTACGTTTTTAAAGTGTACATGTATTTGATGAGGAAAGCACAATTAGGAAACATTAAATTGTGGGATTAACTATCAAATTCTAATTTTATAGTCATGAAAATGAAGTACTTGAAAATGAGGGTATATAACTTCATGCTATCTTTTACCAAAACCAATCAAACTCATTAGCAGTCAATTTGGCTCCAGCGGTAACTTGTAGTGATAGTGTTGATTTTCATAAATGTGATGTAAATATTTGTGATGAAAAGTGTATAATAAAAAAGGTGTAGATTTATGAGGTAATTTTGCTGTAAAAATATGATTTATTATTTTCTAAACGCACTTTTTGTTGCTCTTCTAACTTTTATTTAAAAATTCCATTCACTTAATAGCTTTGAATAGTATACTGCTAGTGCTAAAAACGTTTCTCCAATTTACTCCAAAACTGTCATATTTTTCTAATTTTTGTATTCTTGTGGTTGGCAAAAACCAAAAGCTTCTCTTTGCGTGAACACTATTAATCATTCAGTAAATCGTCACTTAACCAATCTTTAACTATTGTCATTTAATTAAGCCAATCTTAGAATCAAAAGGGTTTCTTGTAGAAGACACAATTGTTCTTGAAGCTGGTATGATGTGTGTCACCGAGACTAAGTTAGTCGGTTCCATCTAAAAAACCTTAATCACTTACCTTTTTTCTCTTCATCTTTGTGTGTTTGTGTACTATGTTGTTGTCTGATTCAAGTGTGTGTCATATGCTTGTTCCATTATAAATCCAGCTAGTTTTTAAGTAAATGTTGTTATTGTAACATTCTCTTGTTTTAAAGCACCTCTGTTTTTGCCCTGTTTTCCTCTGTTTTTTGCCATATAACACTCACACGTAACAATCCATTTGAATTTACTCTAATTGTCCTGAAGGTGACTCAGGAGCATGATCATCAACTAGCCATAGACCAAACTCGTGGAAACGTCTCATCTTGTTGTTGAAACCTTTAATGTAGAAACCCTAAGATTCGGGAAATGATATTTCAGTAACAAAATACATTTTCATCGTACATAAACAAGGGATACAAAAACCATTCAAATTCGATCAAAATCAAAAAGAAAAATGGCTAATGTAGTGT